GGAAAATGGCCAAAAGGAGTGACATGTGTGGGTAAGTAAGTATTAGGGTTCCGAATCAATTCAAAGTCAGAAACAAAATGCTAGTTTTTCGTATTACCCTTATTCCAAACTTTTATTTAAACCATAAACTGTCGCTATAGTATTTTCCATTCATAAACCAACACTAAATAATTGTGTATCCAGTACTCCGTTTTTCCTATGATGAATGTTGTTGCTCCTTGTTAAAACTACTTCTCATTTGGTCTACTGAGTGAGCCATTTTTTTAATCATGTAACAGAACTTCTGAAATACAAGAAAGATCTTGGATTTGTGATTATTGACCTTATGTCTTTTCCCTTGCTATGCTTGCGCTAATTAAGATACAACTTGATATCAGTGAATGGGATGTAGACCATTGATACAATAACAGGACAGCTAATCTATTTCTCTGCGGTCCAGCCCAGCGAACTATTCCACGTAGTTGGAAGTCAGAAGGAAGATTGTATAATCCAAAAACAGCACCAAGAGAATGAATCAACAAGCATTCAACTGAAGTGTAATCTTACAGAACAAAAATAGTCCTTGGAAGATTGACAAAATAGCTCACTGAAAACGAAAAGTAACCAGTTAGGTTTAAGGTCCTGTTCAGTGGGAAACACAAACTGAATGTAATATGCGGCGCTTCTGTCACGAAAAAAATACTCCGATTTCCAAAATAATTACAAAATTAAGAGGATTGTCAAGCGATTTCTGGGGAACTAGCACCCCACCTCTCTTCATTCGGGGCTAGTTAGTATTCGGCCAGTCGTCAAGAATGGAGTATCTGTCTTAAATTCCTTGTTTGCTTTTTGGTTTCTAAAGATTATTTGTACTCTTGATTGTCGTTAGGAGACAGCAAACTCAATTAGCAAAGCACTTTATGATCACTAAGCTTAGTCATTCAAATAAAAATATTTCTTAGAATCGATAGAAATTGTGGTGGCCAATTTCGTTGTGTTCTTCGTAATTAGCTCGTCCAGACAACCGTTACTAAATAGCGTCTGATGGTTTATAAATCAGAAGGTGAATTCGTAGTGTTGAGTACGTTTATTTGGAACACACCAGAAAGCGAAGCGGAGAAGCAGTGAATAAAACGAATGAAAGCGATGTGAATTGGAGAAGGCTATTGAGCCAACTCCTAAGATTACAATGTGAACGAATGGGCGAAGGAAGCGAATAGACAGGCAAAGGGCGTTGGAGAAGACAAATGAGTCAACCCAAAGAGACAGTGTGACAAATATAGGACAGACATGTGATCAACGAGATAGGCATGCACACAAATGAATAAAAGCGACCAATGGTTGACAAGGTCAAACGACAAGTGGGACAAGCCACATGAGCTCATGCAAACCAGACAATAATAAGAACGAATGGTACATATAAGATGTTGCTACGCCAATGGCTTGTTTAAATAAATTAATCGAAAGGGCTTAATCAAGTTAGATGTAAGCGAACTGGAATATATGTGGAGGCACTACAAAATAACACCTGTTTTGCGATGTGATCTGCAATCATAAATCTGTCTAGACTGTGTTGAACAAATAAATCTGTTCAGACCGCTTAAACGGGTAAAGACTGTTGGATATTTCGTAAGCAAAAACTTATAATTTTCCTTAACATATAAAAAAAGGCTTTCGTCTGTGAAGTTATTCAACTTAATAAAACGCACTAGATTTTAACCTGGATTATTGCTTCTACATTATTTCGCATAACTAGTGACAAAATAACAATGTTGAGACATTTCGTAAAAAAAATGTACCTAAACTAACAAAATGTGGTCAAAATTCAGTCTTAAATATCAACAACTAAATAATTCAAGCCATTAATAATTACGAAATAATCGTTTTCCTTTTCAAATTCACGGTTATAAAACCAGGTACAAGAATAATTATCGATCAAAGAACACAGACTCATTAATAAAACAGAATACAGTTATCAAAAAATCAATCCGTTCCAGAAAGAGCTCACATTGTCATATTATTATTTTAGAATGTAAACATTATATATGTTAAATTAAAAATTAGAAGAATAATTATGAGGAAATTCTCGGAGTTCTAGTGAGAAGTCGAGACCAGTGGAATTCAACCCTGTCGCGTGTAGGCGGTAACTACCGAAGACAATGGGTGAGTTTGCGCAAAACATTAAGCTGATCATCGTTAGACATTAACACCGTTGAACGCCGACTCAGTAGTCTGGAGGTTGAGTATTCGCGTGCAAGACCGAAGATCCTGGATAGGATTTCCGCGTACACACGTTTTGGATGCGCACCACTTATTAGTCCCACAATAGGATGAAACAGTTAGTCAGTGCATCCAGGTTTCTGATAATGTTCAGACGATGAATGATTCGCAATTTCATTGTAAAACAACGATTTCCAGAACACTATATTGAAAAAATTACAAAGTCTGTTTGTAGTGGCTTCTCAATAATATCATCGATGTGAATCTATCCTAGCTTTTGACAGATCTTATTAATCTAAATAGATTTATAGCAATTCGTTTGATTTACTTCTTCACGAGATAACAAATGTTAATCCTGACACTCTAAAAATCCAATAAAAAGGTTATTCTAGAGGAAGAAGTATATTTAGTGCCAGCCTCGTGATATCAAAATAATATCGAGGCCAGAGGGTGTACAAATGGCTAAAGTCCTCGCAGGAGACGTGCGAAGAGGAGAATGGGAGTAACACGCTTAAAGCGTGAAAGCTAGTCTTTAATGCGAATAAACAAGAGGTGTACAATACAACAGTTATTGTCAGAATTAAGTACAATAATCAATGTTTATATTTTAGCAGCTGTGTTTTCTTAGTAAAAGTATACCACTACAGATTGATATTACTCTGTCATTTTTACTTCTCGAATAACTACTGTTTTCATTAGAAATTTTGTTCTTTGACACATATACTTCTTTATTTACATCTTTACAAATTCCAAACTTGCATGTCATATATGCACTAGCGTACTTGCGATCTTATCCAGTATCTTTCGCTTTCAATAATTCGTTTTAAGCGATAATAATGCTTGCAAAAATGAAACTTTATTATACGTTCCTATCTTCTCTCTGATTTGCTTGTTATCTTTTCGTATTAATGGGAATATGAAATATACGTATACAAAACATTTCAAGTTGCAACGAGCCTCAATGAGAAAACGTGTGTACGAACCTTAGTGTTCGCTCTCTAATGCACAAATTTTCGAGTGGCATGGTGGTAATGATTCCTTAAGATGCTCACATTGGGATGATTTGGCGTGCTCAATATGTTGTACGCCATTATCAGATCACCTCTGCTTCACCAGTAACTTAGGGTGGATAATCTCAAGTGCTGGAGTCTGTCGTCATAAGTTTTATATTTCAACCCTATCACTCATTTCGTTGCACATCGCTGCAATCGAACTAAGAGGTATATGTATCTTTTAAGGTAAGGGGGTGCGACAACGTTGTGTCGGTGTGTGTATGTCTTTAACAACGTTAAGAATAATTCTAGGGTGATAGCACCAATTTGTCTTCGCATAAACTGAAGAAATCCATTTGTCTTGGCTGCGTCCCCTATGTAGTTTGAACTGGAGTGGAGGTTTTCACTGGTTATTAAACTGAGACCGCGCCCTTGAGAGACATTGAGAAGCGGACTTCCATCGAGGGTGTTAGTCGTTTGTGTTATGTGAGGCAAAATGTACATAAGATGACATTTCGACTGTTTTAGTTTTTAACCGTTTTTCACGAACCATTCCTCAATGAATGTAGGGTCCTGAACACATCACATGTCAGTGAACAAAGGGCTTCTGCACATTGTTTAAAGACTATGGGGAGAATATTCTCACATCCTAGTGACTTTCAGGAGGCAGGGACGTGAACGTCCTCGACCGGGGGCTGATAATCTCTTAACAAATAATCCATGCTTGAGGATTTTTCCCCCTTAGTTCATGTAGTGCATGCATTCTCAGCAAGCCCAGAGTTACTGATGGCTGCGGCAAGTCGTCTTTAGAACCAACTAGTGGTAGTTGTTTCCTGATTGCTGAGATTTAGAGATGGGGTGTTGAAAGCTACGAGTATTCGATCAAACTCAAGGAGTGGCGGTTGCAGTACTGGTTCAACTATATCATATTTCTGGGACGAAGTACTTAAGGGGGACCAGTAATTTCCTTAAATCAAGTATTTCTTGCTTTTTGTATAGAAACAACACCAACATGTTTCTGACACCTCGAGTAGCTGTGTGCCGTGAAGTCTTACGGCTTTTAAATGGACTTTAATATACGTAGTCACTCCGCCTCATGTCTGGTGTTCGCCATTTATTCGAAAGAGTGTCACGCCCAATTGACGAGACCATTATCTTCGCGTTTTGTGCCGAGGGTTGTTGATCGAGGTCAACTGTCATTATTGTAAGCTTATATTGGCCTCCTTGTTGTTGTCTCATTGGTCTAGGTCGGCTTTTTCAGTACTTTATGTGGTTAGATAGATCGTTCTTCCAAGCTGCACCAAGCCTAAGGCGCCTCGATTAGGTTTCTCAATGTCTGAAGTCCACAGACATCAGACATGGTGACTTATTGAGTTAAAGGATACCTAAGTAACCATTTAACTACAAAGAGTTACTAGTAAGAATAAAAAGATTATTTTCAGGGAATTTTATTAAATTACGTATTCCAAATACAAATTCATAAAGAATAGAAAATTGCCTGGAATCAATGTAGTCCACTGCTTAATTATTATCCACTGGACAAAGCCAGACCCTTGGAACTGTACCGAAGGAACAAGAACCGAATGCGGATAAACCAAGAGGTTCATACGAGCCCATGAAAACGATACTGAAAGTGTGATACTTTTACACAAACTACGAGTACTGATACACCTGAACAGTGCGTATATATAGATCTGAATATATTTCTTCTTATCGAGTTCCAGTAATTTTATTCCATCGGTTGACCTGGTATTTGTTCTACCCCAGAAATCTGTTTTTTTTTATTCCAGGCTAAATTATTTCAATCGGCCTTGAGTGCTCAAAGGCACATTTTTAAAATGCAGAAGTGGTTTCTGTCTGGTAAGTTTACTTATGCTTTATATTGGTCTTCAGAATATGTAGAACCAATCGAAGGACTTAACAGGCTTTTGGAAGTTGACAGGGTTACTGTCAAGCAAATAAAACGAAGTCAAAGTGAGTCAGAGATATTTTTACTCAATAAAGCAACTATGGATTTTTAAGTGAATCTTCATAAGAGTGAAGACCTTTAACATGTATTCTAAAAGCATTGACAATTATATCCACGGCTGGCAATACATATTTCCTAAATCTAAGTGGTGATTGGGTTATTCTTACCTAACTTATATTTAATATTAATGGTCTTGAATTTCTTTCATCAGCAGGACGAGAGTATATTTTTAAGTAACGATAATTTTCTGGTGTAAAATTCCTCTTCTGGAGGTTTATTTTAATACATTATCATAACTTTGCCAAGTACTGGCCGAGATTGTGTAGTGTTTGAATTATGATGAAAGATCTTAATAACAAAATACTTTTAGAAGCTATAAAGTATGCATTTTTAATCCGAATCTCAAATTTCAGATTCCAACAGAGTACGGGGCATCAAATATATTTTGAAGTATATTATATTTCACGATACTTTAAAAATATATGAAACTGGTCTCTAAATATACTGAATTATACTTACTATCAAACATTGAGAATATTTAAGGGTTTGAAAGCTCCCTTAAGATGTTGGGCCGTCGAGAATATAAAATCAGTCAAACTTTCTAAAAAGGTCTGTAGTTGCATGAAAGAAACTCAGAAACGGTTTATGCCGTAGAGTTGTCGACTTCATTTCACTTCATAAGCCTCGGTCATACTTGTTCCATGTTAGATCAAACGATAAGGCCGAAAAAGTAGAATTTCTTCTAAAGACTAAATAGAACAAAATGTTTTTGAGTTGGTCTGCAACACATACGAAACCTATAACTTACCTCTGGAGAATAACAAATGTTATTATATTAGTTTAGTACTACATGCCGATGCAGTCTGAGCATGTTGCAATCAAGTATTGGTAATGTGGATACGTACAGGCTGAACTTCACAGGAACTTTTGTAGACTTTGTTCTTGCTCTACCATATATCAGATGAGTTGTCTACTTTTTTGATTTACGTCTCAGGCTTCCAATATCCAATGTCTAATATCCAATATCTTTTTCATGAGCTAGTGTAAACCAGTTTGATTTCTTGGCGCTTCTTGGATTTCTTATATAATTTCTATGAAGACGTCTGAAAGATCCTTCTAGGTTAGATTTATCTGACCTGAAAATAAGGATAAGTGCTGAGCAGACTGAATTTATGTTATAACTTTCTCATTTAAAATATCCGCAATTGTAAAGAATCTCTTGCTAAGTAACAAGTAAGTATTTCATTTTCTATTTAATGTCTGTAATGAAAGCGAGCTAAATCGATTGGTTTGAAATTTTTTCAGGAAAAGTCAAAGTAAGCTCATTTTTCTGTGAAGATTGCAGTGAATCAAGTTTGAAGTTCATAAGCTTCTTCAAATTTTTATTGTTATAATGTAGACTTTGAAAAAGAATAAAAGACACTTCAGTGAAGAAAAGTTTCATTGATTTAATTTACTAAGAGCGGCACAATCGTATTTTTAACCGTTTTACTTGCTACGGTAAAGTAAAATGTTGCTCAATCATTAAAGAATTTGAAGTGTTATCTTGACATGATTTGTTTTAAAAATAAGATACTGTAAGAAGTTTTTACGATAAATAATTCAATAACTAATAAGAAATGGTAAAGTGGAGATAATTTTTCACTTGACAGATATCAAGGACAGAACTATCAAGAATTTCATTAATGACTAATTAATTGTTACTCGCAGTAGTTGGAAGGGAGTTAAGGAAATGAAATAAATCGGACAAAATAAAAGAGAATATCAAGATCGGGGTAGAGTGACAATTTAAACATATTGTTTTCTAACGTTAACGTTAGGCTTGAACAGTAGCTTCAGCTATACATAAGCTTACAATATTTTGTTTTATCAAAGCTGGTTTTACTCTGTGAATGGTTTTAAAGAAGGATTCAAGTGAGGTAGAAAGACTAGAATTAATGAGACGTTTCAGAATGAGGCTTTTAACTGGCTTTTGTAGGCATTTGAACAGTCAAGCATGATAATGTTTAGCAATGTTAACTTCTTTTTATACTATCTACATGATGTGTCAATAATTATCAACTCCCAAAGCTAATAAAACAGTAAAAAAAGCATTCATAATTCTTTATTGATATGATAACAGCCATGCAATGTATAATGCATTTTATTATTAATATTAGTTCTACTATTTTATAAACATTTACTTGTAAAATTACAAGTATTTTGAATTTACTATTGTTGAGTTTTAATAAGGGGTACGTGAAATGATGTATGTAAGTAAAATAAACATGAAGTACACCGAAATTCATATTTCAGTTTTCATAAAAGTTCTCACATATGACTAGTAATCAGTAGGAAAACTAGTGGTCCTAATTGAATGACAAGTTCATAATTATATTCAGTTTTTAAAATATAGTTACTGGTTAAAGAATAATCGTCTCGAATGTTGTTTTTATATTTTGTGAATAATTTGTTAATTTTAAAATCCCAAATAGTATTTATGTTTTTGGATTGTCAAAGTATATCGTTTTAATGAGACATAAAATTTTACAAAATAAAAATATGTTTTTGAGGCAGTATCTGACGTCTTTAAATTTATGTTTGCATGCCTACATGTAAGTAATACTGAAAACTTTCCTGGTGTATTTGTATTATTGCACCAACCATCTTAGTCTAAAGTTTTAACTGTTTGTGATGTACAAGTTATGAGACGTGGTTTTACATGCCAGAAGTTTTTAATTTATAAAAACTAACAGAAATTTATCTTTGTTACAACCAAACTGCTATATTAATTCAATCTAAAACGTTCTAGAGAATTTGTTGCTTTTCAACTCTAGTAGTAAGTTTTATTTTACAACAAAAGTCGTAAACATATAATGAAAACAATCTTATAAACAAATGACCAGTTAGTCTTATCTTCGCTTTTAACTGAAGACTAATTTTTATTTAAGGTATAACAGTATATCCAGTTGTATACTGAATAGCGCATGAAAGCAACATTGCTAGTAAGCCAAAAAACACTTTTATTTTAAAGCTTTTGGGATTTATCACTCATTAACTATATGGATAGATTACTTGCTGATTTATATTATTTCACGGTACAAGTACCACAATGTAATTCATATTTTTCAGGCCCTTCATCAGAAAAAAAGTCTATGAAACTTTCATTTGATTTGCTTTATTTATTTAGGTTCAAAGCTACATGATGCGGTAGTTTATGAAGCGTTACTTGATACATCTGAACTACTTTTAAAATTTGTTGAAAAATCTAGTTTTGCACAAAGATTTTGGTGTGGATCTAATAGAGCATTTGATATGGAAGTGCGAAATGTAAATGGCAAACTTGTGATGCATCTTCAACGACCATTAAAATGTTCAGCAGTGATATGCTTCTGCTGCCCTTATGTAAGTTGATGAAACGTCTAGTCAATAAGTTGAAATTCACTTTCATCTAAACATTAAAAATTTTAGTATTTTCTGTGATGATAGAGTTTCATCTGTTTCATTTTGTTACTTAAGTCAAATCATTTTACCATACCCAAAAGACTAATTTTGAACAGTGATTTTACTGTGATATAATCAGCAGCCGCAAATTTTCTAAATTAATTAGTCAATTTAAAACATGGAATATGAAACTGGCTCTGTCAAACATGCTTTTGTACTCTTAGAATTTATAAAGAGTCTAGAGTTAATCGGTTAAATGAGAATCAGTCCATTAGTAAGTATTCTTTTAAATGGAGTAAATCTCTAGATTAAAGAGGTATACTGAAATCATTTTAAAAGCCCTAAAGTTGTAATATACATGTACATGTACATGTCGGGTGGCAGGCAACATTTTATCCAAAATCCACTACTATAGTTAATTTTAAGAAATTGTCATATGATCATCACTCACATACACTCATAAATCAATCTTGTATTCAACAGGTGTAAGAGTGCAGCTGTTTTTTAACCACAAAACAGTGCCAAAGTTCAACACATAACTTTTCATTTTTGAAGCTGACAAGATTTTATAAAGATAAAACTGTCAAATTTATAGGCTCTGCGGTTACACTCATTGAAGCTTTTTCTTGAATGAATGTTTACTCGGAACTTAATTCAAGGATTGATATTTACTGGTTTATTTTTTTTTGAAGCACGACTTGGTAACCGCCGATATGTTTGAAAGTCACAAACACCATGCTGACATCTTATTTACGAATATCAACACTAGATTTTATAGAAACATTCAGCTGAAAGGTTTCCAGTTATTACACAATCTGTTTCCCAACTACTTGCTTTCAATTTATAGTATTTCTGTGTGTGTGCGTTTATATTCTAGACACACAAATATGTCTTGATTCTGGTTGCAGACATTTTTTTGATTGTTTTCAAGCGTAGCAAATGTATTAATTTGTTCTTCACTATTTACATTATTTATCTTAACTTATTTTCCAAAGATATTTGTAACTGTTTATTATCATTCTTGCTGTTTAATAATGATAGATAGACATTAACAAGTTGTTTAAATTTTTTCGGATCGAAAAAAATATTTTGTTTTATGATTTTAAATCTAGTAGTAGTTGTTTTTTTGACGATATAACTCATCTGTGTATTTCTTTTTTTAAAAAAAATTTTTATTTAGGAAATGAAAGTTGAAGCTCCAGTAGGTGAACCAATGGGTAGTATTGTACAAAATTATGGACGATTTGGTCATGTATTTTATTTGAAAGATTGGAATGACAATATTAATCTTGATATAAAGGGGCCTTGGTTTTCTTATACTTGCTGTTTAGATCTTATTTTTAAAGTGAGTAAAATTTATTCAAAATTACTATCTCGCGTGAAATATTTTATATAGTATAGTCTTTAGTGAAAAATGAATTGTCGAATGGCATGAATTTCGCATTGATCGATTCATAATTTCGATGAAACTCAAGAATTTTCACAACCCTGTAATGACATTATCATTTACTCCACTAAGGACTAGCTTCATATGGCGACTCTTGGAGCTCCAGTGAGAAACCATCACCTGTAAAGTTAGGCTGTGTCGGTTGTATGAGGCAATTACCCACCGAAAACAATGGATGATGGTCGCGCAGTATCAAGGATGGATTCAAGATAGACATAACAATAGTGTTGACTGCCGGCTTAGTGGTTAAGAGGTTAAGTGTTCGCGCGCGAGACCAAAGGTTTTGGGTTCGATTCTCACTTTCAGGGTTGTGAATTCGCATTGACGATGAGTCCCATACTACGACGAAATGACCGTCATTTGCTTCTGGGTTTTTAAATGTTGATGTAACACTGATCGATTTATCATTTCAATAAATATCCTCAGTTTTAATAAATATCCATGAGCATATTAATGAATGATCACGAATAAAGTAAGATAAACAGTTTTTCAGAAATGGTTCTTAATGTTAACTCATTAGTTTTGATTTTCTTGGAATATTTTTTTAACTCACTTCATTCAGAATTATTTGCGCGAGTATTTTAATGGTTGACTCTCATTTCTCTTCACTTAATTGCATATTTTAGTACACTGAGCTATTACTGTAAATTGTATTAATTGTGATTTCGTTAGGCAAGACTATTTACTTATCGACAAACCAATCAGATCGAAAATATCTATTTGTGAATTTTGGCGCAAGATTCATTCATGTATATCAACAAAACAACATTACGGCATTATAATTTATGTCAATTTGTCAAGGACACCTTGACTTCAAGATTTAAATTCCAGTTTTAATTCGTTATATTAATTCATGATCCTCTTTAGATCTCTTTAGTAAGTAGGCAAGTTTTATCAAGATCACTTCAGTCTCACTCAAAAGGTCGTCAATCTGTTACAGTCTGACATTTCAACTTGATTTGAATGATGTCAACTTTCATCATTTAAGTTTGACTATATGTCACAATTTTAAGTGTGTTTTTGATTTGAAAAATGTTACACAAGTAACCTAATAATTCTATGGGAATGAATTATATACATACTAGTGACTGGAGTTATTATTATAATCGTTGTGTAACTTGAGATCTCAGCAATTACTAGTTCGGTGGGTTTTTCAGGTACACTTTACTGATAACTTCAAACTTATTGGAAATCTATGTCAAACATGTCTTCTTGATAACTGCATGAAACCACATAGTATCAAGGTGTGTCATGATGTCTATTCAGCTGGGATAGTAGTGATAGTAGCAGTAGTAGCTTAGTGGCTATAAGACTTAAATTTCAGTTCAAATAACGCTCCCCTTACATCAGTTTAAAAACTTGGTTTGTATCAAAAACCTTTATGCAGACCACGTGACTTGCAGTGTGTATATTTTTATGTCGAGCCTAAAAAGCTAGTCTCAGTCTTTGGGCGATTTAATCAATCCATTCTTCCCGAGTATTATTCACTTATCTTTTGACCTTGTCAATCATTCGCCTATATCTAGGTCATTTTTATTCGAGTATTCGTGTACATGTTTACTTCGCTTACAACATGGCCAGTTTGTCTTGTCTAACTCAAAATATTTAGTCATGCCTCATCGAATTGAGTCGGCTCACTTTCCTCCTCCATTTCACTTTGCTTTTTATGTACTCCTTTCATTCTCATATCTGCCTGCTGTAAATGAATGCATGAAATAACTTCATTCGTAAAACCGTATCTGGTTTCTTATTACCACCACAAACGGCATTTGCCTAAGTATGATATACAGCAATGGAATGGAAGGTTTTTTTTCACAGCGTACCCGACCGTCCACCCACCACTAAAGTGGTGAGCTCTATTTCGAACTGGACGCAGCCATATGAGATTCAAGCAAAAATGCATAAATGTTATGGTTTGCTACGAATGACTCACTGATTACTGATTCAATCAGAATTCAGTATGAAAACCTAAACCAGCATGATATTAGCTACTACTCATCGGTTAATTAGTAATAGATGTTTGCAGCGAGAATATGTATACTCCATTACTGTTTATTCATTGCTCTATTGTTTCAGAATATTTAATAATTTATTTCATGCAATATAAATCGGAAAAATAACAAAAATCGATTATTCTTGATGCCTGTGGAACATTTCATACATGTGTACTTTTTTTTGAGTCGTTTGAAAGTTGATATTCACTGAAATCTCTCATTAGGCCTTTAAATGATGCTGATTCATGCATCACATGGAAAATGTCAGTTATCTTAACATTAAAGAAATAGGTCAGTTTATTCAGAGATGTAGGCTGATCAGGGCTTTCTATCGATCACACGCAACAATCTAATATTGAAAATAGAATTTTGGAAAATGGAACCACTAAGATTATAGCAGCTACATTTTAACTTGACTGAAACATTTCAACCAGTTAAAAAAAATTATATTGAGTACATCAGAGAATAAATAGCCAGTGTTAGCAGTGAATTTTGATACTTATCAAACATTCCGATTGAAAGGATAAATTCAAGATTTTTTTCAGCTTTCATACAATTCAATTTAAATATCGTATTTTTAGGATTTGTCTAATTGAGGAGACAAATAATGTCTAAGCTTTGGAATATTCCATAATAACTAGATAATACTTTCATTATGAAGTTATGGAGATTGTTGCATTTCATTGCAATTAGTGTTAGACTATCATCAGAAACATGGCAGGACTGGTTAATTGTTTCTTCTTATTATGGGTCTCTTCAGCAGTGCGTATCCGCAATACCCGTTCGCGGAAATTGGACACAAGACCTTTAGTCTAGTGAGTGAAAACTTAACTTCCAGGCCACCGAGCTGGAGGAATCCGGTGGTATTAATATCTAACTTTTGATCAATCAAAGGTTTTGCGCAATCTCACCCATTGTCTTCGATAGGTAACTTCTGCCTACACCCGATAGGGCTGAACTTCACTGGTCTTGGCTTATCACTAGAACTCCGAGAATTTCCTCACAAAACTAGTCACTAGTGAGCATATATTTTATGAATTTGATTATAAGGTCATGGATATCGTTGAGTTCCGCAGAAATCAGGAATCAATCACTGTCATGGATGCATACCGCCAACGAGGACAAAAAGGGCCACCCAGTGCTTCCAGGTTTCTAACGTTGGTCTAACACTGATCGTCACTTGATGAAATGGAAATTTACATTAATAATTAAAAATAATAATATACCTAACATTTTCACACTGATCATTACATCATAACTAGAAATACCTAATAATTTTTACTTAGATTGGTTATGTGTTTTTCTTTTTTTGCCTTTAACGTACAAACGATGAAATTCTTATTTTATTATTAGTTTTGAAGCAACTAACAAAAATAATATTTCAACATTTTGTTCGTTGAAATTATAACGGCTTGATCAATAGTGAATGAATCTTTTCTACAATTCTATCTAACATGTCTGGGTTGTTTTTTTTTCATATTTTTATCACATTGCTGTTGATACACATAAACTACCAGTTAGACGAATACACAAAACTAAATACAATTTTCATGTAAACCTGTTCGCAATATATTCGATCAATTCGAGTGAATATATATGAAAAAAAAACACACTAATTATAGTTGAATTCTAGTTCATTAGTAAACGATGTATCAATGAACAATTGTTAAGAAGGATTCTGTTAAAGAATGAACGAGTCTGTGAGCTGTGCTCCTCCATGCACTATGTTGTTGTTTGATTCCGTCATAAGAATTCCGTATGATGTTGACAATCTTCTAAGGCCCACCATCGTGTTGAAGATGCTTTCATAGTGTCATCCCGTCCACTTTATCAAATACTTTCTCTTAGTGTTACGCCTGCACGTAAACACGTCAACTGGATATGTGTGAACTATTACGAGTTTACCTAGTTGGAAAACGAGAGCGAGGATCGAAGATCCGGCGACACGACATGCTACTCAAATCCGATTATCCCAACCCCTATATTGAGTAAAAATAAGAAGACTTGATATGAAGTAGAACCTGGATTCTACGAGCATCCTCAAAGTACGAGGTCCGAATCCAGAAGAGAATCAGGATCCCGGACTAGGGATCCGGGACTGGGTCCTGGTCCTGGTCATAAAGCGTTACAGATAATGCGTATTTATACATTTTGATCGAATAGAAAACAGCATCGAAGTCTGTGACATTGGCAGTAAAGACGACCAATAGGAAGCAACATTTGAAGTGACATTGATAGTCAGGTCAACCAATAAGGAACAACATTGGAACACGTGACATTGATATCTAGGACGACCATAAAATTGACCAGTGGGAATTAACCAATAGGAATGGACCAATAATTCTCTTAGGATATTGGATGAATATCCTAACACTTAATCAAGGAATTGGATGTTTATGGTGGTGCATTCCGTTCAATCGATTGTTCCACAATCATCTGTACTGTCGCGATTTGGTCGTTACATGAGCGATTCTTACAGAATCCAGCCTACTGATGGCAAAGTTGGGAGTCTACTGAAACTTTCATTCAGTTTGTTTAACAAAACTCTTTTGAATCCCTTTTCTGGTATTGAGAGTAGAGCGATACTCCTTATAGTCCTCACACTAGCTGAAATCCCCTTTCTTTCGTATCTTGACAAGGTGTCCTTCTTTCCAATCTGTTGGCATATATGTAAAGAACCAACTCGCTAAAAAAACCGCTAGCTCGAAAAAATCAATGCTAAATCTTTATTATAATTAAAATTCTTAATGTTTATTAATCATTGTTTCGATAAGAAATTGTGAATATCACTGAATTTAAAATTTACCTAATCAGTAGTTGGTTTTGATCAGCCAACCGATAAAAACTAGGAATCAATGAATAGCTATTTCATGCTAATATTGAGTTCTTCACTGGCTTGAAAATTGAGCCTTTGCAACAAAGCCTGAAGCTCGTGCATTCAGTCACTACATTGAAGTCCTGTACTTGGACAAAGTGTGCTGCTTGATCTTCAGTGATTGTTAAATTAAGTTCAATGAGCTCTTATAGTAACACAAGTGATTATAAGACACATTCTACAGGTCACGTACACACACACACACACACACTATTTTATGATATCAAAATTTACTGATAAGACTTCATTCTTACTTGTTATCTTGTGAGCAAATTATAAGCCATGAAATCTAGTGATATTGTAGTATTAAACTCTCAACTTCAACTTTTAAAATCATTGAAAATTGAACTATGCTTATGTTGATTAAGATTCAATAGTAAGTAGTGAGAACAAGCACTAAACTTGAAAAAATATATAATTTTGTTTTGTAGAATATATTTATGAGTTCATAAAAAATTAATAAAAGATATTTAATTTGTTTTTTTCTTTTCTCATTGTTTAAATCATCAGTCTTTACATTGAATGTCAATCGCTTCATTTTTTTTAAAAATGTAATTGACCTATGCTAATTTGTGAATAGAATTAAACGCAATTACATGGACTATCTTAGTTGGTTTATGGTAAAACTCAGTTTATTCATTTGTTAGACTCTTGTTACCCCAAAATGGAGGAGTATTGGCCGCCAACCAAGCGAATTATTTTCTTGGTCAATGTTTTTTTCTAGGGAGTTAGAATTGGGATCGCTAATCCCCATCATCTTCATCTTGTTGTCACATGTTTGCCTTCAAAAGTTTGAGACGGGCGATAGTATATATTTATTATACAGCTTTTCAAAACAAAACTCATTAAAATCACATTTTCTACTTTCGTTAGTCTAATATGCCTAATATAATTAGTTTTACTTAGGAATTGTGTGGCATCTCACCATTCATTATTCATTGCACTTCAACGATTTGTCAGTTATATAATTATACGATAATTGTGTATCGACCATGATTTTGTATTTGTAGTAATTCGATCACAGTATTGATTGTTGCATATTTGATTGTGTGTGTGTGTATGTGTGGATGCTTACTTGCTTATCACATGTCTTGCGTATTATTGGGTGATTGTAAATACTTAGTCATTATTGCTTCAGTGCACAAACACCATGGTGAGTCTAAGTATCATATATACAAAGGAAGTGAAAAGGAAGATTTATTTTAATGTACATACTCGATCTCATTCGTCCTCCATACTGGAGTCCAGTCGTGAGCCACTAAAATTGTACAAGTTTTAAATTTCTTATTCAAAGCTTAGAGAACAAATTAAAAGATTAAAATACAAACTTTCATTTTTTCAACATAGGGTTGTGGAGATTGCTGAGTTATTTTGAAATCATGGATCGATCAATGATAGACCCCCATTGCAAACCCGGAAGCACTGGATAGCCTTCTCGTTCTGTTATGGGACTCATAGGCAATGCCCATCCACGACTCCCGCTACTCTCAGGAATCGAACCCAGGATCTTCAGCCTTGCTCGGGCGTGCGCACTGCTTATGAGTCTCATAGCAGGACATAACGGTTGTCCAGTGCTTTCAGGTTACTAATGGTGGTCTATAATCGACTGATTCACAATTTCAAGGCAACTTGACAATCTCCACAACCCTATAGTAAAAATTATCATATACTCACTATTGACTAGCTCCTTGAGGACATTTCTCCGAGTTCTGGCGAGACGTCGTAGCCAGTGGAGTCCAACCCTGTTCGGGTGGGAAGCAGTGCCCACCTAAGGTAGTGGATAAGATTGCACAAGACCGTCGGATCCCTGATCACTGGTCCAGAGCGAGACTGAAAGTCCACAGTTCGACTTGCGAGTAGCGAGAGTCATGGACGCGAATCACTGATGAGTCTCATGGCAGGACAAAATGGTTTTCCAAAGCTTCCGGGCTTCTAATGGTGGTCTAAAAAATTCCTATGTTAATAAACGTAAAATAACCTTGAAATAGTCATAAAATTCAAATAAAAATAATTCATTTATGTAACTGTACAATTTCAACAATTTTATAATGTTTTTAATTCTTCTAACTGTTATTTTTTTCCGTGATTATTTTATTTATTCCCTATGTTTCTTGTTGGTTCTGTTTTCTGTATTATAGAAACATTTATTAGAGATGCTTGAACTTGTATCGTTGATATGATGAAAAATGTTAATAATAATAATAATAATAATAATCGAAGAACGTGTTACAGGCAATTAACTTGCTATTCGACTAGTTCGAATAGCTTCAGGTTATTAAATCCAAACGTTAGCAAATTCATTAGAGAAATAAGAGAATGACTTGAGTGACCTAGTATATATGGATAAATTGTAGTGTGTGTACCGATATGTTGAGCCCATATGGACCTGTCCTGACTTTTAGACAAACTAATTAACACATTTTATAACATCAGTTAATCATTGATAGACCACCATTAGAAACCTGGAAGCACTGAAAGACGGCCGTTTTGTCCTGGTATGGGACTCATCAGCAGTGCGCATCCACGACTCTTGCACCTCGCAGGATTCAAACCCGGGACCGTCGGTATTGTGCACGAACGCCCAACCATCGGACCAATGGGCCGGCATCCAACGGTGTTAATGTCTAACTCTGATTGATCTACGGATTTTGCTTGACCTCACCTCTCCCCGAAAACTAATTAACCTTTTCTGTACGGTTCCTATTCCTATATCTTTTGATCTTGTCAATGAAGACCTTGACTGTTTGTAGTTAATTGCTTGTGTTCGTTGTTTACCTCGCTTATTACATGTGTCAATTATTTTTACTTGACTGCAAATACTTAGCCATGTCTCATCACATTGAGTTGGCCCACTAGCCTTCTTCACTTCACTTTGCTTCGCTTCGCTTCGCTTTTACACTCCCATTCACATATCTGTTTGCTTACGGAATGTTGGAAATAAATTCATCCACATAACACTGTATTGGGCTTTGAATCACCGCCTTGACATAAATGCCCTTTCGCCTATGAATGATATACGGGAATTAGATGAAAGATTTATTTCATGGAATGAATATTCAATCGGTCTTCCGAATTAGAGTCAGATCCCGGGATAGATTTTGAGGGATTTAAAAAAATTAATGACTTACAATTGATCGTTTACTGACTTGTGGTTAATGTTGTATTTGCCTAGTTTTTTTTTGAAATCTTAAGTGATTCGATGTCAACTGCACCGTGTTGAGACCTTAGTTGTTTAAAGATAATTCACTGAAATCCCTGAAAAGAGGTTTCCTGGTAGTTGCCATTCAACAGGAAGGTACATCTGTTTTCTTGAGGGACTGATACTCACATTGCAACTTGACTGACAGAGTCCGATTGGCACCAAAAGGTCAGATAAACATGGAAATGCTCTCTGCTTATTGGTTTTTTAGTTACAAGTATCTCTGTGTTCGGTAGAAACCTAGTAGCTGCCCCAGAAGCTCGGTGGTGTATTTTCGAATTATGAAGCTGGGTAGCATGAAATCGAATCTGTAAGGAAACATCAGTCTCTTTAACAGTATTGATATGGCTTTCCGATGAGGGCCAAACGAAACGCAATCCAGTCTCAGGGTTTTCGGTTGGTTAGCTTCAATACGCTTAACAGCTGTATATTACATACGTACGCAATCCTTCCTCATAGATCATTTTGCTGATTATTTCATAGTTTGTAGTCAGCGAGCAAAAATTATTACTCAGTAATGTCTCATACCTTTAATTTTCCTGTTTTAATGCCAAGATTTATGCACATGGACACAATAGATCGATTGGACGGATAATATGTCGTCGAGACCAAGAAAATGACAGTTTCCGTATTGACTTCCCTTTAGATTTGGATTATCGTATGAAACTTTTGCTTATTTGTGCTGCAATATTTTTAGTAAGTTATTTTCATAAAATTTTTCTTTTAATGTACATTGAAATCTTGATTTAGTCATTGTGTGACCGCCATCAGAAACCGGAAGCACTGCAAGGTCGTTTCGTCCTCGTATGGGACTCATCAGTAGTGCGCATCCACAACTCCTGCTGCTGCCAGGATTCAAACCCACGACCTTCGGTCTTGCGCGCTAACGCTTACACTCTGGATTATATAAAATGTACACTTGAACAAGAAAAACTTGAGCATCACATTAATCAGCTGTTATTGAGTGAATATTCTACCATTAATGATGATTGATTATCTGGTTCATAATATCAATGTTTGAATAATTTCAGATGGCCTTTGTTGATTTCGATTAATCAATTTTGTAAAAAAAATTCCATTAATCAGTCATCGTTTAATGAAATTTAAGATGAATAGAAAATTATTTGTATAGTTTAGCTTGCAACATGCTTTTGTTATACGTCGATTCATAAAATACGCAACTGTGGTGTAACATAGCTATGAATTATGCATAAAGTTAAGGTTAATCAAGAAAAAATGAATACGCGTTTGTAAAATAAGTCAATAGAATTGTAGTTCACCTTTCAATGAATATTTCATATTAGTATAGGATTGTGAAGATTGTTGAGCTTCATTGAAATCATGAACCGACTAATGTTAGGGCAGGTTAAAAAAAACCTGGAAGCACTGAATGGCCGTTTCGTCCTAGTTTGGGACTCTTCATGGTTTGATTGAGGTTAAACACTCCATGTTGTCTCAAAATGGTCAAGAGGTTAAGCGCTCGCACGTGAGACCGAATGTTCAAGATTCGATTCCTGCGTATCGGGTTGTAGATTTACGCCGCTGAGGGGTCCCGCACTAGGATGAAACAGTTGTCCAGCGTTTCCAGGTTTTCAACAGTGCTCTAAAGTTGATCGGTTCATGATTTTAATGTAATATTGTAGCTTTGAAGAGCACTACAATACTGATAAGTTTCATAGATTTCTTGAACAAGAAAAACGATCAAGATTCTAGCCGTCGTGTCATTATTTTTCATCGAAAAAGGAGTTACGGTAGGTTGTTAAATCACTCATTTTATTTTTAGATTAAAAGTAAAAGTTTTAATTTTCCCTTGTCACATTGAAACTTTCATCTAACTAGTCTATCATAGCATGCGTGCCATGAATGCAGTTGATAAATTTCTATCAGTCCTCTAAGAAGAACATGACATAAAATCTGTTGGACATTTCTCAATGACCAATCTATTGTGTATACATCTTAGTCTTGCAGAAGGCGAGCCACCACCCGGATAGTTTAGCCGTAACGTCTCTGAATATAGGTCTTGGTGACACCGGGTTGAATCCGTTTAGAGAGCATCATTTCCGTGAAGAATAGAATTATACATTACTGACAAGTCACAGTTATCACGAAGCCTAAATCAATCACCACCTTATTTATGCACTGTATTGTGAATTTGAGCATGTCTGTACATGATCAAATGAAGTCTGTCATACAAAGCAATAGCTTAATTTCCCATACACAAGCTCACAGAAATCTGGCTGAACTCAGTAGTTCAATGAGTAACACGTTGATGCTTGAAGAGAAATGAAATGAGTCCATTCTTATTCTAAACCTCATAGGAGGATACATCCAACCGGTGAATTTCAAATAGAATGCAACACTCATCTTAGATTCCACTACTATCTTCAATTCAACATCTCGGAAACAGATTCAGCTTCCTTTTTTAGAGACCCTGAAATTTATTTTTCAAGCATTCTAATACGAGTTATAAGTTTAAAACCAACTAACGCGCATAAAATATTGGGATAAGATGCATAGTATCAAATGTAGTTCAAATCTTAGAATTAAAAACTCTACCTGGAACGCTTCCGGGTTAACTGCTGGTCTCAAGCCCAGATAAAGGAGGAGGGTTCGGCATAGATGGGGTCAGCGACCCGTAGAAATCCAACTCGCTAAAAAAAACGCTAACCGTCGGTGGCCTATCCTTCATTAGGGGTAACAGGCGTAGGTAGTAAGTAAGTAAGATATTCATTAAAGTACTAAACATCATACTAATGCCTAATTGAACATTGAATGAAACCTAATAATTAATTATGGTCAGTCAATGTTCTAATTAGTTTAATAATAGTCTAATATTTATATCATATGCAATTAACAAGTCAGTCGATTTCGTAAATATCACAATAATTATGAGATTTTCTTGTTTGCAATGAATGATATTTTGAATCCAATGTGCTATTTCGTGAATATTTCCGTTTATGATACAAATCTTTTGTTTTTTTGCCTATAAAAGAATGTTTAATCACTTGTAGATAGAAATTTTCATGTAGTCAAATTTTCGACTGTGTTTTTTTTCCGTAAATATTGTATTATATTTTTGTAATTTAAGTGTTAATTAGTCATTGTCAATCAAAAAAAAATCGAATACAAATAGGTTTCTTCACTTTAATTCGCTACACTTTACATCAGCATGTCTGGTAATGATGGACTTAACAGAATAAGAAGCAGATAAGGGTGAATAGTATCAAATGCAGTGAGGATCTTATAAGAGGGCAAAAAATTTTCTAAAAAGTAAAAACTGAGCAAGATGCGTGAAAGTCCGCATCTATCTAACTGATTCCATGAACCGGTACATTGTATTGATCTGACTATCAATAGTTTTGTGCCATTCTACCCCTCTATTATACAACGGAGTGCTTATTGATCAAGGATCAGTAACAGCTTGAAGAACTTTTAAAGTCTCACAAACCCACCCAATTTGGGGAATTTACCTATATCTAACTTTAGGACTACTTATTGCATATGATTTCCCCGTACAACAATAAAGCCTTGAAAATACGTATGATCGAATAATTACAGACTACATATTGCTCCTACGTTCTGAGACTATACTTCACAGATATTTTACAATACACAGAGAGAGGACTGTTGTGCATTGTATGCTCCCTTTATATTACCGAAAAACATGCGACCGAAGCCACAAGTAGCTCAGTTAAACAATATAATTATGTAACTTTTCAAACATTGCATCATTTTAGTGCTATTTCATAGTTATTAGAACAGTTAAGTTATTTTTCATTGAGATCATGCATAAATCATTGTTAGACCGTCATTAAAAACTTGGATCCACTGCACGGTCATTTCATCCTAGTAAGCGACTCATCACAGTGCACATCCACGATGTTCGCAATCGAAAATCCTATCCAGGACCTTCTGTCTTGCGCGTAAATGCTTAACTTTTAAACCACTAAGCCAGCATCCAACGGTATTATTGTTTAACCTTTGATCAATGCAAGGTTTTGCGCGACCCCACCCATTGTCTTTGGTAGTTACTACCTCAACCTGACAGGGTTGAACTCCACTGACCACGACTTCTCACTAGGACTACGAGAATTTCTTCATGTAGCTAGTCACTAGTGAACGCAATATTATTAAACTAAAGAAAATATTGAGAGATCAGGTCGGATTCAGAATTGACTCGATTGATTCATCCTATATATAAGATTCAGCGAACTTTAAGACATAATTTTTGAAATCGTCAATATTTCAGCAGCAAGCTTATTCAAAAAACATTCACTCCTTATTTATCCAGATTTTTTTACTCGACTTTGAGCCACACTTTTCAACTAAACGTCTGGTCACAGAAGTAAGTCGACAGAGATGCGAACCTGTTATTTTCTACTGAGAAGCCTAGTGTTTCACCCACTGGCCTACAAATCTAGTATTTGAATGAAAGTAGCTACTGATTCATGAAGAACAACTATACCTTACGTGCATATTGGTCCGAAGAACTTAATGAGACTATCCATTACATCATTGAATTTACTCATACATATCAACATGAGGCTTATCAGCCCTTCGAAATGAATCCAATTAATTATCGTATTTTGGACATAACTACAGAATACATGCAAAAATCACAGGCATGATTAGGCCAATAGATAGAAACAATTTTACCGGCAAAGGATAGAGATTTAAAGTTCCTTTAGTTGAAATAATGTGATGTATAGATTGTTTCCAGAGGAGATTTATCACAAAGTTTATAAGAATGTAATCTAAGGTAGCTGGGTGGGAAATACTAATTCTTAGTATTGTGACTAGGACCTCTTATGTATGTATGAATGAATTTCGATCATTGACAACAAAAGAAAGAAACACAAGTTGCTAGCACAGAACAACAGCAGCAAACATTAGTATGAAATGTTTGCTTTTAGTTATGTAAGTGCTAAATTGTGTTGATTTAGACAGATACTACTTAGAATAATTCATTGTATCTGCAAAAGCAAAAACGTTAAAACAGCCACAAGAAGGGCCACTTTTAGTAAGTATTCTCAGTCAAAAAACAATACAGTGTTCCTCTAATTTCACTAGTGGGATGCAATATAGTCACCGTCGTTTCAAATTAGAAATAATCATCAGCGCAGCGAATAAATGATAGTGATGATTTTATCTCATGGAAAGATTACTACGATAAAGCATTCCAGAACCTTGAAATTTATTGAATGAAACTTTCAAATGAGACACCTACTTTCGAAATATACAGTTATAACTATTGTAACTAGATATTCCTACATATTGAATCGTTGTAGCGAATCTAAGCGGTAGTTAATTTAAGATTTTAAGGAAATAAACTTTTAATTTTTAATCGTCATCAAAGAATCTCATATAGATGATTGATCTATGATTTCCATGATAAACAACAATCTCCATAACTCTATCATGAAAAATCGTACAATGTGTGTCACTAGTGACAATAGCTTCATGCGGAAATTCTCGGAGTTCTAGTGAGAAGACGTGACCGGTAGAGCTCAACTTGGTCGGGTGTAAGCAGTAACTGCCGAAGAAACAATGGATGATGCTGTGCGAAATTCTTAGATTGATCAGAGTTAGACATTAATACCGTTAGAAGATGCCATCGGCTCAGTGATCTGGTCGTTAAGCTTTCGTTCGCGAGACCAAAAGTCCTGTGTTCGAATCCTGCGCGTGTGGCGGGACTT